TTTTGGTTTGTGGATGAGCGACGTACAGGATGCGCTCAATGCTCAAAATCTGGAGGAGACCATCATGGTCGATGTGAGGCCACCTAAATATGAAGAGGCGATATGGGAAAAGATGAATCGAAATGCTTGCGGGGTGATCAGGTCCTGTTTGGAACAGGAGCTGAAATACGATGTGATTGGGGTGACGTCTGCGATGAAGATGTGGGAAATTCTCAACAATAAGTACCTTACGAAGAGTGTTGAGAACCGGTTGCACTTGCTGCGAAGGTTATTCAGATTCCAGATGTCCAGAGGTACCTCGCTTGCGGCTCATGTGAACAACTACACTAAGTTGTTGTCGGACTTGGCGAACGTGGATGAGAAGATCACAGATGAGTACAAGGCTATTATTCTTTTGGGCTCCTTACCGGATGAGGAGTATGATACCTTCGTGCTTACGTTGCTGAACGGGAGATCTTCTATCACTTATAGTGAAGTGACTAACGCATTGACGAACTATGATTTGAGGAGGAAGGATAAGGAGACTTCCCGCGCTAGTACTTCAGGAGAGGCCTTGTCGGCGAGAGGTAGAAGCTCATATCAGAAAGGTGGAAACAGAGGGAGGTCAAAGTCAAGAGGTCGTCACCAGCTTGGAAAGAATCAATGTGCATTCTGCAAGGAGCAGGGACATTGGAAAAGAGATTGCCCGAAAGTCAAAGAAAAGGAGAATAGCAAGAATAAGGGCCCGAAGGCCAATGAGGTGAATGTTGCGAAAGGCGATGATTCCGATGATTCGAGCTTTTCTCTTTTGATTACTCCGGAGGTGAACCATTTGGATGCATCGGAGTGGATGCTTGATTCTGGCGCTACTTATCATGTGACTCCTAGGCGAGATTGGTTCTCATCATTTGAGAGACTCGATGGGGGTGTTGTGGTCATGGGAAATGATCAATCCTGTGGCGTTCGTGGGATAGGTACTGTGAGGATTCGGATGCACGATGGAGTAGTCCGTGAGCTGAAGGAGGTGAGATTCGTTCCTCAACTTAAGAAGAATCTTATCTCAGTGGGGGCTTTGGAGGCGAAGGGATTCAGGGTGACCTTTGAGGATGCTGTAGCAAAGGTTACTAAGGGATCTTTGGTGGTGATGAAGGGAGTCCGAAATCATAATTTATATTATCTGAAGGGGAGCACCGAGATTGGCCAGGTTGCTTCGGCGATTTCAGAGGCGGACATGAGCAGACTTTGGCACTACAGGCTAGGGCATACAGGTGAAAAGTCACTGCAGGCATTGTGCAAGCAGGGGCTTTTGAAGGGAGCCAAGAGTGGTAAAGTAGAATTCTGTGAGCACTGTGTACTTGGCAAGAAGACGAAGGTGAAGTTCGGGACGGCCATTCATAGGACGAGGGGCATCTTGGACTACGTGCACACAGATGTTTGGGGTCCCACTAAGACGGCATCACTTGGTGGTCGACATTGGTTCGTCACGTTCGTTGATGACTATTCTAGGCGATGTTGGGTGTACACCATGAAGCATAAGAGTGAAGTCCTAGATTTGTTTGTGGAGTGGAAGAAGAGATTGGAACTGCAGACTGGGAGAAAGATCAAGACGTTGCGATCCGACAACGGCGGCGAGTATACCTCAGACCCCTTTCTGCAGCTATGTCGAGACGAGGGCATAGAGAGGCACTTCACAGTTAGTCATACACCGCAGCAGAATGGGGTGGCGGAGAGATTGAATCGGTCTTTGCTGGAGAAGATTCGATGTTTATTGGCGCATAGTGGTTTGGAGAAGATCTTTTGGGCTGAGGCACTTTCTTATGCGAGCCACCTCATTAACAGGCTGCCTTCATCTGCGATTGAGGGGAAGACCCCTATGGAGATGTGGTCGGGAGAGACAGCACATGACTATGACCAGCTTAAGGTATTTGGTTGCCCTGCATATTATCATGTTAGAACTGATAAGTTGGAACCTCGAGCTAGGAAGGCCATATTTGTAGGATTCAAGCGTGGTGTCAAGGGATACAAGCTTTGGGATCCAGTTGATAAGAAGATTGTGCTGAGTAGGGACGTCACATTCGATGAGGCTTCTATCTTGAAGCTTCCCAGCTCTCATCAGGTGGAGAGCAACCCGACAGAGGAGATTTCGCAGGTGGTGGAGATTGATGCAGCTCCACAGAGTCCAGATAGTGCAGTATCCATGAGAGTGCCGACTGAGGTGACGCCAGGCGAGCACGACGGTGATGCGGAGGATACGGGTACTCATGAGCAGGATCAGGGACCGACGGCTCAGGTTCAGGATTCTATTGCGGCACGGAGACAGAGGAGAGACATACGGGTGCCAGCACGGTATGCCGACACAGTTGCATATGCACTTCCGGTGGAGAGTATCGATGAGATGGTGCCTACTACATTCAGAGAGGCCGAGCAGAGTTCGGAGGCTGATTCGTGGCAGGTGGCTATGCAGGAGGAGATGGAGTCTCTTCACAAGAACGATACATGGAAGCTTGTAGAGCTTCCAAAGGGGCGGAAGGCGATTGGGTGCAAGTGGGTGTACACGAAGAAGGAGGGCATTGAGGGCACTCCAGTGAGGTTCAAGGCTAGGTTGGTTGCGAAGGGCTATGCACAGGAGGAAGGTATTGATTACAATGAGGTTTTCTCTCCGGTGGTGAAGCATTCGTCGATTCGGATTTTGCTAGCTTTGGTGGCACAGTATGGATTGGAGTTAGATCAGTTGGATGTGAAGACAGCATTTCTTCATGGTGATCTTGATGAAGAAATATATATGACTCAGCCATTGGGATTCCGAGCTGCAGGGAAAGATAAGTTGGTTTGCAGGCTAAAGAAATCGCTATACGGTTTGAAGCAGTCTCCTCGACAGTGGTATAGGCGATTTGATGGTTTTATGCTTGGTCATTCGTACACTCGGAGCCAGTTTGATCCTTGCGTGTATTTTCGCAAGTTGAGAGGAGGTGCGTACATTTATTTATTGCTTTATGTCGATGACATGTTGGTTGCTTCAAGTTCCAGGTCAGCTATAGATGAGTTGAAGATTCAGCTTTCGAATGAGTTTGAGATGAAGGACTTGGGCGAGGCGAAGCGCATTTTAGGGATGGAGATCGGCAGAGACAAGAAGAAGGGCAGAATTTGTTTGACACAGGTGGCTTATTTGAAGAAGGTTCTACAGCGATTCCATGTTAGCATGGATACGAAGCCAGTTAGTGTACCGTTGGGAGCCCATTTGAAGCTTTCAGCTGACCTTTCACCGAAGTCAGTTGAAGACCGTGAGTTGATGTCGAAGACTCCATATGCGAGCGCAGTTGGGAGCTTGATGTACGCGATGGTATGTACGAGGCCGGATTTGTCACAGGCAGTGAGCATGGTGTCGAGATACATGCACGATCCAGGAGTGGGTCATTGGGATGCCGTGAGATGGATTTTGAGGTACATTCTAGGTACGCTCAATGTTGGTTTGGTTTATGAGCGGGACACTACAGGTGGGCAGTTATGCATTGGCTATGTTGATTCGGATTATGCCGGGGATTTGGATAAGCGCCGATCTACAACGGGGTATGTGTTCACCTTGACCCGTGCGCCGGTGTGTTGGAGATGCACCTTACAGTCGACGGTGGCTTTGTCTACGACGGAGGCAGAGTATATGGCAGTTACGGAGGCTGTGAAGGAGGCTATTTGGCTTCGAGGACTTCTGGAAGAACTTGGTATATCGCAGCGATCCGTCACTATTCATTGTGATAGCATGAGTGCTATATATTTGGCGAAGAATCAGGTTTTTCATGCGAGGACGAAGCACATTGACGTTCGTTATCACTTCGTTCGAGATGTTCTTGAAGATGGCGATGTGGAGATTGTGAAGGTCCATACGAAGGATAATCCGGCGGATATGCTCACGAAGGTGGTTCCAAGCAACAAGTTTGATCATTGCAGAAACTTGTTGAATATTTGTGATTGTTGAGGCCGTTGACGGCCATTTGGATGAACTACGGGCGGCTTGATCCCTTGGGAGAGGGGGTACGTAGGCAACCATGGTGGTGCAGCCGTATTTGGAGAGACGACACATTGATGCTCTTGGTTTGGTGTCGGCTCATTTTTGGCAAAATTCGCCGAGGTGGAGAATTGTGGAGAAATCAGGAAAAGAATCAGAAAAACCAGAAAAACTGGCATAAGTCGACTCATGCACTGTGCACGAGTCGACTTACGATCTGCAGCCGAATTGTGATTTTAGCCTCTGTCAAGTCGACTTAGCATGACTGTTAAGTCGACTTATGGCAAGTCGACTTAACAGTCTGTTAAGTCGACTTATGAAGTGTTCTCCAGTTGTTGATTTTCTCTCTGTCAAGTCGACTTGTGAGCTCTGTTAAGTCGACTTACGACGGGTTTTTTGCATACGCAGGTTTCCTATTTGCAGTCTGATTGGGGTTTTGTTTTGATATAAATAGGGAAACGATTTGTGAGGGTTTTTTATCAGAGATTGAGGAATCTTTTGAGCATTGTGAGAGGGAGATATTGTGAGCAAGGTGAGATCTTTGGTTGAGGGTTAGTTTGAGAGAATTTGTGTGATTGTAACCCTTTGTACTCTCCTTGATTTAGTGAAATCTCCCCATCCTCTCCCCGTGGACGTAGGCAAATTGCCGAACCACGTATATCTCTGTGTTTGGATTGATTTGGCTTTATTGGTTGGATTTGTGCAAGAGTTTGTCTTTCTTCTACTCGTGATCACAGGTTCGTTGTGAGTTCGTGCAAGGCTTCCGCAAAGGCGCGCGACACAACGTTTAGAAAAACCCAATTTTAAAATCTCTAGAAGCAGAAGTAAGTATTTAGTAGTGTCGTTATTATTAGTTAATATACCAACTCTGTACTTGTTCTTTTTTTTTTTACGAATTCTCTCTGCTTTAAAAACTAAGTGAGATAAACCAAGCCGGTACCATTGAAGACAGCATGAGCTAAGTTGGTAAATTTAAAAGGTGCTAACGAAATCTACAGATTCAGGCAAAAATGAACGACTATAGTGAAGCCTCTAAAATTTGCGTTCCGTGATGAAATGATCAAATCTTGACACCCCGTGTCCAACCACTTCTCAATGTACTCGTCCTCATCTTAATCTCATAATAATTTATCAACTAATATTAAAAAAAAAAAATCAGAGCACGGTGGCTACGAGGGGTTGGTTGAGAGAATATTCCATTTAACAAAGGACGAAAGCGTACAGTAACCCATGGCAAAGTGACAAAGGAGCCTCCTTTGTCTCGTACCCATCAAGTGGGGGTTCTTCGTTCTCCTTTTTTTGGTGTCCTCGTCAGCACCTGCCATTTGCGGGCCCCACCAGCACTCAGGCGGTCACTTTTTCCCTCATTGGCCCATCATCAATTTTTCAATTTTTTAATTTTTTTTCAGTGCTTGCGTTCCCTACGCATATTGTTGATTGTTGACGGGTACCTTTTCGATCCCTTTCTAATAAATTGAGGAGGGTCTTCCCTTTGATTTCCTTTGTGATGAGTCGTTTCAAAGTAAGCCACCGTGAGCACGCCACACAGGGCTTTTTCTCCGTCTCTGTCGCTTGCGTCGTCAAAGTAGAATCATGCATCTTCGAGCATCCCACATACAACCACAAAGTTATGGACCATTGATCCAGAATGTTCTGATATGATTTATATTCAAGCTAGCTAATAATCTACGTCATTAGATGGCGTCGAGGAAAACGAGGTGTGGGCGCAACAACATCACTGTCTGTGCGCATGAGGTTGAGCTGGTCAGGAATGGTCGAGTCGAAGAGCCTGTTGCTCGGATTCTCGGCATAGCACACGTAATAGCACGCTACGCACGCGTGTGGCAATGCCATCGCAATCCTCGTCTGCGCAATTGAGTTCAGAATGAGAAAAAATATATATATATAAATCTCCACCAAAGATAATACGACATGCTTTTCAAGCATAAGATTATTCCTAGCTACATATGAGAAATTAATAGATAGATAGATATTTGGCTAGAGTTTTGACAAATTGAAGATCACACGCACCATGAGGTAGCCGACGAAGAAAGCAAGAAGAGACACGGTAGCCGTGTAATGCTTGTGAGTAGCAAACGTCCATGATGCTGCCAGTATCACACACACAGCTCCGCTGCAGACTCCAGTCAAGAAGCACACCGAGCTCGTCATGTCCGAGTCCACCATCTCCTCCATCTTCTGCCTCTCGAACAATCCCCACGTGCTCTTCGACGCAGCCACAAATCCCCTCCCATACGCCGCTATCTACAAATCAAAACAAACCCATCAGATTAACAATTACGATCGAATCGAGAGAAATCGGAACGCTGGTCGATTGCCGATGAGGGTGCAAGGTTACGAACATGGACGAACGCCCAGCTGTTGCCGTAATGGAAAACGGACTCCATGACCCGAAGGCAACAATGCGCGCAGGAGAACATGAACTCGTCCTCCTCCTCCAGCAGATTGAACCCCCGCGCCATTATTCGCAGGGCCTCGATGGTAGGCACGAACAACGAGCGAGAGCAGCGCTGCCCAAATTCGGTCGACATCGCCCTCTGAAAACAAACCTGGGCGCTGGACGTCGCATCCCCCTAAGATAATACAGCGAGATTACGCGGCTGAGCCGTCAGATTGACGACGTTTCTCATCACGTTCGACTACCCCACATCAGCTTCAGACGAGCAACCGAGTATCTGTCTGAGCGGCGGGTGTGGTAGGTAGAAGTTCTGCGCGCCGATGGACGGCGTAAGCACCAGACGGTGATGTAGAAGAACCCGACGAGCATTGACGAGGGACGCGGGCCCGTTGAGCTCCTGAATTTGGCGAGCGGGCTTCAGGGACTTCTCGACGAACGTTTTGGCGGCGAAAAGGGGACGCGTGCGGTTGCTCAGTGTGAACCCAGGCAGGAGAAAAAGTAGAGGAGACAGCCGGAATGAGAAGAGAGGCATGGGGCGACGCCGAGGCCAGCTGGCGGAGGGATGGCGAAGCACGAGGAGGAGGCATGCCTGCTGACATCGTGGAGCCGGAGGTTGGACCAGAGTTGCGAAGTTGATGGACGTGGCGGCCGGCCAGCGTTTATTGACGGTTTAGCCGTTGCCAGCGAAGGCGAGCGATGATTGCTGAGGACGGCGGAAGCCCCCGATCGGAGGCGAGCCAACGAATTGGATGGGCGCGCTTCTCCTTCCTGAAGGAGAGGAGGAAGGAGCTTTGTGAGCCGCCGGCGGCGAGGACTGGATGTGCTTTGAATGATTGAAGAAGGAGACGGCGGCGGAGGGAGACGAGGAGGTTGGATGGAGGAAGAGGAGAGAGAGGGACGCGGTTGGTGTACTTTCTCGGAGTTCAGCGTGGTGGGATGGGGGACCGCGGGGGGCGTGGATGTGGGGGGCTGCGCGGCGTTGAGAAGGTGGCGGCGGCGGCGGGGGTCCACGGTGACTTGGATGGGGGTGCGGGACAGCCTAGAGATGTGATGATGGGTCAAATTTGCGTCTGCAGTTACGACTTCTTTTTCTCCTCCTCGTTGTTTAACGATCTCCTCCTCTTCATGTTCATCATCTTCTTTAGTTCCTCTTTCCATGACCTGCGAATATTAGCGAAGTAAAGCAAATAAACAAGATGATATCGATCGCTAGCTGAGACGCATGAGAGAGAGACTAACTGGGTCTGGATTTAAAGCACCCATTGGCCTAGGGTTGTTGATGGCGCGGCTGAGGATGAGGAAGAGTTTAATGAGGGGAATTATCTAATGAATTTGTGCTCGTTTTCTTTGTGTTGGTCGTTGCTGGTGGTCTCTAATGCTCTACCAAAAGCTCTTTACCTCTGTCTTGTCACGAGGACAGGCACACACGCAGAAAGAGAGAGAGAGAGAGCCTTTTAACGTTTCAAGAAAAACAATTAAAAGCTTGTTGGACTGAAATTAATGTGGCTAGAGTTACACCTTGCTCCCTCTCTTTCTAGAAATATTTATTGCAGACCCACGAGCTCAATTGATCAGCACCGTTTATTTTTCTCTATTTGGAGGCAGGGTTGGGCGAGGGCTGGGCCGGTTTAGGCCCGTGACCTGGCATACCGGGTTCAAGGCCTGGTCAGGTCCGATCCGGACCCGCTCGGGTCCAAATAGGCCGAGCATATTTCTTTGATCCCGGGTATAGGGTTGTGTTATGGTCAGTCACCATACTAAGATAGAAATATCGGGAGAATGTCTGCATAAGCCCAAGAGAGCTATGGTACAAATCAAGTTAGAGACTCAAAAGCCCAGTCAAGACCAAATCCCTCGACCAGACGAGCAGACAAGCCATATTTCGATCAACAGGTCATCATGACCGACTCGAAGTGCAGGATCAGTCGTCCCCTCGCAATTAAGGCGACTCCTCGAGCAGACGACTCGACTATATATACACCTGACCCGAAGCCCACTCGACTATCGGGTCGCCAAATCATAATGATGGCTCACAGATCAACCCGCCTCGACTAAAGGGATAAGAGCTGACCAAGTTCACTTCAGATGTCAATCGACACAACAGTACTGATTAGTCCCATTAAGATCTCTATTCTGACAACCATCGTGCCCCAGCCGCTTATTCGGCTTACAAGTCATTTCCCAGAAGATTGCCATGATGCTTTCCTGTGCACAAATGACTTCTCCTCCAATCGCTAGCCGCCACCTGGAGAGAGAAGGATGACCACGCCGCCGACCTATCCTATGCCCTGCCACTTCTGACAAACCCAGGGTACTGAGAAGACAATTCTCTCCTGTATTCGAATTACTTCCCTTCCTATCGCCAGCCGACATCTGGAATGAGAAGGATGACTCAGCATTCTATCTGCTCACCCTGCAACCGCCCTCCTGCGCAAGAGAAAAATCCAAAAATCTCAGAAGTTATGGACTATATAAAGAAGGTAGGAAGGGTAAGGGTGGGGAGGCTGCTCTCTGCTTCTTCTTACACCTTAGCTTTACTCCCCTTTGGGATCTTCTTTTTACATAAAGAGCATTTAATAACTTAGGGAGGAACCTCTTGCAAGGGCCTCAATGGCCCAGGGACCTCTCAAAAAACCCTCCTCAAGTTCACTAACTGACTTGACCGTCGAAGGTATCACGGGGGAAACTAGCCCCGTATTCCTGCGATTCTTGTATGTGCATGCTATCAGTCTACCCTGCGCGCTCAGAATCGGGCATAAAGTCGGAGGAGGAGTCGGCCCCAACATTCATCCTCTCCTTCTTCCCTACCGTCGCTAGGATCGAAACTGCATCCGACTGCGGGAAACACCTATCGACTGTTTGTTCATGAGCATCAACAGTTTGACGCCCACCGTGGAGCCCACTTTCTTCTCTGAGAAGAGATGCCCAATTCTAAGCAGGGTCTGATCTTGTTCATTCTTGAAGAACGCTGGATTTGCATCGTTCAAGCTAAACAAAGTCTGGAATCGCATCATTTAAGCTAAGGAGGATTAGCCTATGGCTATGAAGAGCCAATGTGGGTGTAGCCCTCGAGCGTTCCAATAGCTTTCTGGGGAGTATTTGCCAAGTGGAATCCCGAAAGTCCTCCTAAGAAAAGACATACCACTATGTTGCTTGTCTGACTTGAAGATGAAGCATAGGCTTCTAATTGCCGCCACAGACGAAAACCCCACCGCCTGAACGGCCAAGAGGCCTGGGGTTGGATCGCAAACAGGCCCCCAATGGTCATGATCAAATCCAGTATCGCTCAAGCTCCCGTCGGTAATGACTCCCCTGAGCAAGGAGCATCGATTAAGTCTGTGGAAGGCTCCTCGGACCACCACCACCTCCAAAGGAGATTCTTTCCTCACCAAGGATGAGATTGCGGGGAAAACTCAAGGGCTCGCCATCTGGCCTTCTCAGGAAGATTAACAGCCCCGGCACCCTAGTAAATGCTCAGAACCGCCAGAGTCGAAGTAAAACCTGGTGGTCGAAGCATGTGACTTGTGCTCTTCCTGCAAGAAGGCTCTGTAGACGGTAAAAAAAATACCTCTGATGAGCCTACAGGAAATTCGCCCACAAGAAGTCGCCTGCCTAAGCTGCACGTCGTCAAACGTGTTCGGTTCCAGATTCGCCTAATGATTGGCTCGCCTGCACGAGATAAGCGGAAGTTCGCCTCTTACGCGACTCGCCTGCCCGAGTCCAAAGACGAATCCGCCTGCAATCTCAAGACCGTCAGTACAGCTGGGTATCCACTACCCCACGTGCTGAGATGGACCTTCCCATCCCTCTCGACCCGGAGGGAGAGAGCACAGTACCCCAAGACCGTCAAACGGCCGCTCGCAGTACGCACAGCGCGAAGGACTGGACGGGTGTCGAGTCAACCTGAGCATTCATAAATGCGACTCACCTCAGCTGTCTGGGTCAAGGGCTGGATCCGCCGGCACTCGGCAGGTTTGCTAGACCCACTCGAGTACTGTGCACCTACTTCGCCGCCTCTCCTGACCGGAAAGGAGAAAGCACCGTGCTCAAAGCACGCCGGGCGGTCACGCACAGCTACGACGTGATCGGACAGACACCTCATCGATCTGCGAACTCATAAATCGCGGTTCATTAATGCTGGTCAAAGTCCACCCGGATAGCAACGGCCGTTGCCTCATTATACAAGGAGCGGCCTTCCCATTTTTGTGACAGGACATAACAGCACAATCCCTCGAATGACCATTCATAGGTATCGAGGAACAGCCAAGACGTCTCTGAAGGAGATATGGTCACATCCCATAATTCAAGGATGAGTCAAGCTCTCCTCTTCCATTTAAAAGCCCCTTCCAGCGCACTGGAGGATGAGGTCGCAAACTTAGAGAAAAAAGTTGAGACCCAAGCTCTCTGCATAATCTTTGCATTGCAGCATCACTGTTTAGTTCCGAGCTCCGATCGCCGACGAACTAAGCAGACCCGAACATCCCTCGAGTTGAGCTTCTACTGCGAAACTGAAGCTCTCCAGCAACCTCGATCGAACGGTCCAAGGGAAGCAGACTCGACCACGCATCGAGCGAAGCGTCCTATAGCCACCTAAAGTCCCCACACAAAACAAAGAGGGTATTCCCTCTGCTTCTGTTGTAACCATTTGATATTAGTTGGTAATAAGGCTTCTTATTCATACAACGAAACTCCTTTCTTCGGAAGAATCAAATTTTCACCCTACAGAAGATGGCGACCACAGTGGGAGCAGCTGTTTCATCGAACGAAATGGTGGTGGCTCAGTTTGATGAGGTTACTATCGGGACGACAGTAGAGTCCCTCGAAATCGAGTTCGACCAGGCCAAGTACGAAGAATACTTGTCCTCCTCCTCCTCGGGTGGCAACGCGTCCCGCAAACGCCACAGAGCTGTGCGCCGAGGCCGACCTCAGACGGTCAAAGCCTCTGCACCTGAGGGTTCCACCCGAATCTCATCGGAGGAGCCCAATCCCTCGCAATCAATCAAGGCCAAGCCAGAGATCGAGCGCAAGAAGCAAGGGTCTGCCAGATGGATCGCCAAGCGGTCCACACAGACACCCGCCTCGGAGGGAACGCCGGTTCACTCCGGCACAAACAACACTGCCACTACCTGTGGTGATGCTCCCCTCGATAGGAGAGTTAACCAACAGCAGCGGCGAACGTTCGTCAGACAGGAGATCCAAACCTCCGTTTCTCACAATGGCCTGAGCCATCATACATGCTCGAGAAACGCTA